ACTTTGCTCAGAAACGTTCTGGGATGCGGCAAAAAGGTGTTAAGGTGTAAAAGAACAAATAAGGTCAAATCCCATAGGTGGGCGGGTTGGGCACCAAATTTGGCGGGGCTGGCACTAAAGTAGGCGGGGCTTAGATCAAAAATCTATAACTTTGTTCAGAAACGTTCTGGGATGCGGCAAAAAGGTGTTAAGGTGTAAAAGAACAAATGTTGCTAAATCTTCGAGGTGGGCGGGGTTGGCACTAAAGTGGGCGGGGCTTAGATCAAAAATTTACAACTCTGCTCCGAAGCGTTCTTGGATGCGGCAAAAAGGTGTTAAGGTGTAAAAGAACAAATGTTGCTAAATCCCCGAGGTGGGCGGGGTTGGCACTAAATGTGGTCATCTCAGAAGTAGGAGAAGTCGGCACGTTTCAAAGCTGTTGTTCATGGCCACACACAGCCCGAGGTATTTCGACTACATAGACTGCAGAGAAATTTGATTTAGATACATCGGAGTACTCTTCATGGCCACACACTAGGGAAGAGACTCAAATGACAAAGGTTTATAATGAAAATCAGAAGCTCATGTGGCTCCCTCCTTTATGGCTATAGCCCCCTGCGCACGCAATAGCGTGCGTAGCCGCCTGGTGAAGTAAATAAATAACAATAATTCTTTCTGGAGGAAAATTATAACTGACCTTTGGAAAATCAAACAGATCAACATAGTTGTGATACAAATCTTGCGATGTTTGCGGGAAACAATTCGCGCATGACGGCCGAACTTTGGAGATATTACGGAACGAAAAGTCCACCGCAGGTGAAACTAGTGGATGTACTGGAAGATCCTTGTATGGAGCAGAAAGGCGCTGAAATAAGACTGAGGTACGATTCACATTGCACTCCTCCTAAGCAAATATATAATAATTAGATAGGAAGTTATAAAAGTATTGGGCTGTCCGTAAAGTCTCCACCGATCTTTGATTCGCCTTCGAGTGAATTCCTAGATGAAATCCATTGATCAAGAGATATAACCTCCATTCTGATCAGTCAGGATTCGCCATCTTCCTGTAAGTTCCAGTATTCCGCTTACTAGAATTCCAGGGTTCAAAATCGAAAACCCTCTCAGGTGCTCCCTGCAGTCCTATAGCGTATTGAACCATTATCCATTCAAAGAATTCTGCAGAAAATCAACCAAGTGGTATTCCTATGGTGCTATATCCGAACTATATGGGGGTGTGGTAAGACATCCCACCCAAGTTCCAGCAATTTTGGCCGAAAAGCAGAGGCCAAAAATACGGTAGCCTGGAGGTATCGTGTTGGAAGACAAAGCCCTCACGATTGGCCGGTTCGGGTCGCTTCTGGTCTATCGCTGCCTCCAGTTAAGTATATAGTATAATACCTTCCAGAAGCTAACGCTTGATTATGCGACAACAGCTCATGATAAGTGATTTCCCTCCAATCCCACCAGCAGCACAGCATAATCTTCCGCACTTGGATTTTGACTTCCGCAGTGGTTTGTGACGACTCACTGGGAAAGCTATACATCGTTTCCGCTTCTCGCGGCTGTAAGCAATCCACTTTTCATCCTTACATTTTAGAAACAGCCCATTTTTATTTCGTTTGAATAACGAGTCGCACACGGAGGCGCGGTCCATCACATTGCGCTCACTCATTTTATGAAGCATCCCAACATCAATCCGCTTTACAAAACCAAACACTAAGCCACTGTCCTACTCTACGAGTGGTGCTGTGCCGATTCGCTTCTCTTAACCTTTTGATTTGGTCGGTTTAAAGGCACAGGTCACGATTTTCGAGGTATCCATTTTAAATTGGAAAGAGGAAGCGTTGATGAAGTGTAGTGCATCGGTGGCGAAGATAGCGAGAGAATCTGCCTACTTCCAGAAAAATAAGTCTCGTAAAACTAGTGGAAATATATGCTATACAAGATTACCGTGGCGGAAATGGCACGGTAGGGGTACTCGCACGAGGTTGCAGTTGCTACAATTGCGCAGAGCTGACTATATTAAGTTCAAATCGCCGCAAACTTCTTTCCACAATCGCCATGGGTCATTACAGTTGTTTGATCTTCCAACAACGGGAGACCCTTGAGGTTGTGCAGCCTCAATGACACCTTGAGAATCGTCCGCTGTGGGTGTGGCATTCACATGGTACAATGTCTGGTCCCTTATTGTGCCCTATTCGGCGCGTTTCTTGACCTGACATCGGCACATGTGGTATCAGGAAGTTCACCCTATGAGGGAATCGAATTCACCCTATGAGGGAATTTCAGAAACCGATTTTTTCGTGAACTGTGCCCTTAACTGATGATAGGCTCCCTGAAGGTTGCCGATCTCCGAAGGTGAATTCACTCTGTTTGGATTTCGCAGACGTCATGCACTGTACGTTACTCTAGAGCATTGCCCACTCGAAGGCCAAATCTTTCCTGCGGCTTCCCACGTTCTAGGCTCTGCGGTAGAAGAAAAGCTCCAGATGCCAAAAATGCACGCAATGGTTCTCAATTTTCACACGAGTCCTGTAGAGACAAACTTTGACAACTGTTAACAGAATCTCAACAGGCAGGAATATAGAAAAGGTCCTATTCTGCCGGAAAACATAAATTTATGAGGTTGGGTCCTTGATCTTTTGTACAGCAATTGATGAACAGCGTTCAAAATCGGCAAAACTTTCCGGACAACCCAATATAAAATACACTGCGTTCAATAATGATGCAGCTATCTCTGAACTCCAACAAAACTCACGTTCCAGGACACTTCAGTAAAAGACCTAATACTGAAGTCTTCCCCTATTCGCACCGTAACCTGTAGACCAACAGCGAGTTCCATCTTAATAACATGAACAATTTTCTCCTCCATTTTTTCAGAAAATGCCACTTTGCCTGTGTGCGAAAATGGTAAGCCGCCTAATATTTTCCCGTCGCCTTCCCTTATTAATGTGCTAGCGGTTCAGTGGTTTTTATGGATTCCGGTTACCGGAGTAAAATGAAACAACAAAATAATGAGCGCGGATATAACCGCTAGTGAAGCAGAGAAGAATGGTAAATAAGGCTTTATCAAAGCACAGAACCTACGTCAGAGGTAGAAGGGGGGTCCACGTTATAGGGGGTCGTTATAGGTTTATAGGGGGTCGTCATCGTAGACGACGATTATTACCTTACACAAGTGCTTCACTTGTGTAATGTCTCCCAATTTGAGGTTATAGGTAGTCATAGAATCGCTCGAGATTTCGGACGATGCCGCGCACTTGTCGACACTTTCGTCAGGAATCCAGCAGGGTTTAGGGCCAGAAGAAGTACGGGACGTTCTTCGTTACTTTTGGGAGAACAAGCAATGTATTTTGAGAGAAGCGCCGATACGACTAAGTTACGGAAATATGGAATACGGAAATTAAAAAAAGAAAAGTACGGTATTAATGTCTTCTTCGAAACTCAATGTCTCGAGGATTACTGTTCGGAACGTAATAAATAAGTCTGATCAGGGAAGGATCCCAAGTCGAAGTGGCCATTTGAAATGAGATTCATACTGCTGGACGTGTTTTTGGACGTTGAGTTCAAATCTGCTTTCCAAATTTGCCAAGCGTTTCTCCGAACGGAGTTATGAGGATGGCCTCAGGGAGCTTAACATGAGGAAACTTAAATTACCTGAATGCGGCTCATTTCACAACGGCGGCTTGGTGTAGTGGTAAGCGTGGCGCTTCATGGGTGACAAACCAGGGTTCGGGTTTTGTGGGGGACCGAATTTTTGCATTATATAGAATTTTCCCTTAAGGGCTACAAAATACTCTCATGGCGGTTTTATCGCGTTTTATAACCTTTTATTGCTTTGCTGACACCTTCTCCTGCCTACCTATCTATTACCCAGTGGGAGATTCTTCTGTGCGCAAACTGTGGAGGTCTGGGAGAGCAAAATGCCCATGATGAGCAATGATGATGCTAGAGTGGGTGTTGATGCTGGATTGGGTGCGGTGGTGCGTAGCAGCTCCGGACTCACTCCGGCACTGTTGGTAGTCGACTTGAAGACCATAAAGCTATTCACTGCGCCTTACCTCCACAAAAGCAGGTAAAGGGAATGACACCTTGCTCGGATCTACCTTGAGGCTAATGCAGCCGATAAAAGCTTATTTCTTATTTCCTCTTAAAAATATGATCAAACGCAACACCTCATATGAAATAGCTCATGACCTCAACTTGTGCGTGTACACACGAGACCCCCCTTTTTACTTACTATCGCTTGTCTACTTTTAGTTCTGTCCGGCTAGTTTAAGGAAATTCATCTTTTATCCATGGTATGCCGCCGGCTACTTAAGCACCCAACCGGGTGATTTTGGGAAGTTTACACAATTCTGTTTTCTTTCTGATTTGGGGTTAATAAGCGTAAAGCAATGGGCTGTGACCAGTTTTTTTCATCCGTTGATTCCATTGTGAGAAGCTTCTTTGTCTAAAGCATTCCGTGCTAGAGTACCACATCATTCATAAAGCAGCAAGAGTTATCCTACTGTGTATATAAAGTGCGTGGGCATGCAAGTAGATCAGAAGTATTACTTTATGTGGATGAATAACAGCAAAAGCGTTAAAAGGTCATAAAACGTGATGAAAACGCCATGAGAGTCTTTTTTAGTCCTTAAGGGGAAGATTCCACATAATGCAAAAATTCCGTCCCCCACAAAACCCGAAGCCTAGCCTCTTGCCCATGAAGCGTCACGCTTACCGCTGCACCAAGCCGCCGTTGGGAAAATAGGCACATCCAGGTAATTTAAGTTCTCTCATGTTAGGCTCCCTGAAACCACCCACATAACTCCGTTCAGAGAAACGCTTGGCAAATTTGGAAAGCAGATTTGAACTCAGCGTCCAAAAACACGTGCAGCAGTGTAGGTCTCATTTCAAATGGCCACTTCGAGTCGGGATCCTTCCCTGGTAAACTTATCGTTGGGCGGAAAATGGGAGAGGCACCTTCAATAACAGGAAAGTACGACCGATTACCGGAACGCTTTTACCAGGAAATGCAAAAGAACCGATTGGGGTAAGGTGCTTTGCACGACTTGTCGTTTACGCTTCCTTCTCTTAATGTTTCGTTCTCCTGGTTGTTTCTTCTGATGGAAAAATATAACTTGATGGCCAAGATGGCAACCGGTTCTACTAGCACGATCTGAGGAGAAAGGATAAGCTTCAGTTAATCAGACAAATTTCAAGAGTGAAGAAGTCATACTATGGGCGGCACCTTCCTTTATGGCTGTTCCAAAGAAGCTCAACCCTTCCGGTTGTAGGGTCGTAATGCACCGAGTCCTCCCTTATTGGCATCAGAATTGGCAGCAGAACCACGTACTCGTGTAAGACGATGCCCCGATTCACGTAGGCCAGAGCACCCACGTCTGGCTTATCGGCATCGATGGTTAGCCCTAAGTTGAACAGGAACTAATTGATAGCCTTGACTCTAGCTTAGACAATCGCATTTTTGAATTAACATTAACTCGAAGTAATGGGGGCTCAATCGATCATTAATAACGCCAATTCCCCTCTTCGTTATCATTTGGCTGTTGAAAGTTGATTTAGCCAGTAGCTGAGTCATTTTCGAAAATAGGCAAAGTGACCATTTCCGAAAAAATCAAGGGAAAATTGTCCATGTTCTTGCTGCAGGGCTACGAGTTACGGTTCGAATAGGGTACATTTTCCATGCTGAGACTTGTTCCTAGGTACCGTTAAACCTTTGACGACAATGCGGATTTCGACATGTCGCCGCTCCGCTCCTTTCGCGCGCGCCTGGCACCCACTGATGGGTGACACTGTCCAGCGCGTTTTCAAGACGCAGGAGACATGTGCGCATCAATAGTATGAAAGTTACACTAATTTTGGAGGAGACTATAAGCAGAGTTAGTTTCTGGATCCAACTATGAGAAGTCTAGCAAGAAAAACAAGCTAGGTAAGATCTCAGCAGTTCTTTATTTCTGATACGCATCAGCTGTTCTCGTAAGCAGTAACGATTTTGCTTTTCATGCTACCGATGATTGAGTATCAAGTATCAACTACCTAATTATGAAATCGAAATGATCTCTTCACAAATCATAATAAAAATAATGTAACTTTTCCCCGCATCCCCCAGGGGCGCAGTCTTTGCTCCATTCCTTACTTCTTAGACTCCAGAGAAAAACGCATGAAATGAAAAAGATGGAGCATAGAGAAAACTAAGAAAAGCGTTATGTGGACGGCCCCTGCATGCCTCATGCCACGACTGAGGGCCACAGGAATCTAACCATGCGCTGATTCCAACCTACCATTAACTCCTAATTAGTGCATCTAATTCTGGTTTTCCACAGCTTCACAATGCTACTATCAAGCAAAGACGATAACAAGGGCAGCTTGCTAAGAAAAATAACACGAACAAGTTGTTCGTGAAATGAAAAACCCGTTAGGCATAGTGAAGGCCACCTACTTCAGTTACACTGATCACAAATCAGTGACAACGGAAACAATACCTCGCCGACGAAGCCGCCCAGTACACTCGGCATTCTGAAGGAATCTTCGGATGTTTTCAAACCAGGACAGAGCGTTGCGTCAAGACCAAACACATGACGATGCTAGAGACAATTCCTGCAATAAGACAATAAGCAGTTAAGCCCTTTCAATCGGTTATGTGCTGATGTGGAGAGCGAAAGTGAGCTTGCCATGAGATTTTATACAAGAACGAGGATTCACGGTGGACAGCTAGTTCCTACAGTGATGCATATACCACCATCACAGGGCTTGCAATTCTTTTTCGACGCGTCAAAAAGGTGATGGTATTAGGGTGAGTAGATGAAAATGTTGCCCCCCCCCCTTTGACCGTCTGCGTCTGTTGAGTTTTCCTTCATTCAAAGATCAGTTAAGGAATTGAGGGTCCGTTCTTCTCGTTCTTGTAACCTCCATACGATGTGAAACAATCAAAGGATGGTTTTTTGAAAGGAGGCGAAGTGGTCAACACCGAAATTTATAAGAGAAGTATGTAAAGGGTAGGCTTGTAAACAGTTGAAGAAACCTAAAGAACGCCAGCATTCCTCACGCTGGTTAATGAATGAAAGGCGAAAGGAATTGGCGTCGAGCGACGTACTGCAACTCGATGACTTTATTGGGACTCGAGGTCGGCCACATGAATCCTATTTCGCTGTTTTCACATGTCATTTCACGCTCTATTCTAGTCATATAAGATGAAAATCTGACCCACATCTCAAATGAAAAACGACATATGAAGACTAGAAGGGAACAAGAAAGCAGTTCAAGAAAATCAAAGTCCTACTTGACGCAAAGTATTGAGCAACAAAAAGTAGACTGGGATAGCGGGTTGTATTCTCTTAGGCACTTCAGCACCTACTACTGCCCGTTTTGCTTCGTTCTTCTCTGCACATTAACTGAGTTAACTCACATAAATTGCAGTAGCAGGTGTTGGAGCGTCTAAGAGAATATAATTTCAGCACAAGTCATTGCTTCGTGCAATCCTGATGGATGCCAACACCTTTTGAAATCGTTCAGGGCGATGGATGAAGAACTTATCAGAGCGATGCCAACTGCCTTTAAAATATGGAGCTAGGTATCCAGCACTGCGGCATTCTTGAACTCCCATGATCAAATAAGCACGTGCTGGAGTGAGTTGTGCATCTAGAAACACCATTCAGTACTTCCAACTACACCTTATTCGAATAGAACTGCTTGGTGAATAATATGTAGATATTTATTTATATTTCCGAAACATAGAATTTAGATTGCTGAGAAATCGCTGCATCGATCTACCCATTCGAGTCAACACATGTGATTCCTTCACAAGTCCATCCACCTACTTACTACTGGTTACTTTAAGACTTTGCGTTGCACACACCGGCGTCTGAAGTTTGCTGGGCAAGCATCAACATTAACGAGACATACCTCTGTCCACGAAACCCTGTAGAGACCCCACAGATGAACATTGCTTCCTTCAGCTTTTCAGGATTGAACGCACTTTTAAGGTGCTGAAGAAAAACGTTTTGAGTTTGATTTTTCCTTTATCGGATGCTACTACATTACCGCATAATGCCTACAATGCGGAATGAGTAAAGCCTTTCCCTGAAATGACCGAACAGTCAACTTAGTACACAGTAGCACATTACACGTTATCCCCTGATCAAGCAGGAAGAATACCCTCGTCTATCGCCCTCTCAGAAGAATAATGAACCAGGAACGGAATTCAGTACAGGAGGTCCGCTTCTCTCACTGATCTTGCAGTGTAATAAAATAAAAGCATGAATTCTCAAAATATGTATAAGTATGTAATTGTTGTCAAGGACAGGTGAAACCGCTAAGCTTTGCACTTGACTCAAAGATCTTTGAGTCTCTAAACTTGATCAGGGTTGCATCGAACATCGATGCGAAACAACCTTAATGAAGCCAAGAGCTGACCGTTAATCGAGAAGATGGAGGATTTAGACGAGTTGTCCGACCCAGAAGTGCCTTGTATAGTTGGCGCTTGGGTGGCAATTGGCTTTATTCGTTTGGCGCGGCCTCTCCCTTCGCGCCGCCAATTCGAACGGTTTGTGAACTGGACAGCTCGTCCGTGTAATTCAACCTCCTGATCATGCTAATCGATGCAAATAGAATAAAAGTAGGTGCGACTAGCGTGGTCAGCAGGGTGAATCGCCTGGACGTGTTGTCTAGCTCAGAAATCGCGTCGAATGGGCGGCGTGTTGCGAGGGCCGCGCCAAACGAGGAGGTGGTCGTTTGGTCCTTCACAGCCACATCGCCATGAGACATAGGTGTGGTAGGGAGAACGTCCGTTGCGCGCGTCCACCGAAAGTAGGTCACCCGCCCACTCCGCGCGCGGCGCTCCCCACATCGGTACCCGCTGCTCTCACACGCTTGGATGGAGAACGTCCGTTGCGCGTGTCCGTCGAAAGTAGGTCACCCCGCACACTTCGCGCGCGGCGCATCACACTGAGGTCTCGAGATGACATTACAGTAACACCAAGTGTCATTGGAGCAAATGATTCGCATTTGTCTGTGTTATCTTCTTCTTGAGCTGACTACCGTGGACCAAACGCAAAGCGTATGCCCCAGTGACAATTGCGACGTCTGTCAAATATCGCGGGCCGACTCGCCGCGTGCGACGGCTGCGGCGTGACCTAGTTTCGACAGACACGCGCAACGAAGCGCACCCCGCTTAGATAGGGCCGCCGTCGCATAGCCGCTCGCACGCCGTCCGAAAATTAGGTGAAAAATACGAAGTTATAACATGAAAAAGCTATGAAAAGTCCCTAAACACCATTATGGGCTCGATACTTTCCTTGTCTACTATCTCGCTGGAGAGAGCGCCAGACGAGAAAAGTGCCGCGTCGCAGCGTGGCCACCGCCCCCCCCCCTGGGTGCGCTTCGTTGGGTCCGGAAA